ATATGCCATAACTTCAGCTGACTAGTTCAAAGCCACCAGTGCATCATTTGGCTTCCCAATGACATGGATCTATAAGAAGCAATTATATCAACTTGGACTGGGCAATTATTCTGGTGGTCTAGAGTTGTTTTTTTATAGAGTTCTGGCCTATTTTTTAACCAGCAGCCGGTATCCACTTGCCATTTTGCCCATATTGGTATTGTAGCAACAACCTCAAAGAGCGAGATAAGCCCTACCGATTGCATAGTGATTTTTTATTTTTATGACTAACTAACATAACGTAACCATCGAATCATTCGGAGAAGAATGCATGAGGCTCTAACAAAAACGTACGATACCGTACTGTACGTACCGTGCGGTCCATTTTGTTATTATCTTTCAATACAGTAATTCCTCAACAATTTGAAATACATAATGTTAACAAAGACGAAAAGAACCTACGGTACACATACTAATACGATCGCATCTGACTCAACGACAACACGGTACGAACGGTTTATCACATGTAACGTACCAAGTACCTTACTACAGAACTCTGGTGCTTGCTGTTGAAAAAATTATGTCCGCATCGCATGTCGCGTTTGTAGAACGGTATGGTCTCTGAGTCTGAGTACTATCCTACCGCACGGTATGTACTCGTTGCTACGTCAAACGTGTCAGCAGTTACAAATAAAATACGAAAAAAAAATTAACACGGGAAGGAGATCGGCAGAATTACATCATTGATCGAGAGAATAATACAGCGGTGCGAGTTCCATCGGCAAAATTACAAAATAAATGAACTGGAAATCGAATGCCTTTCATTGGGTATTCTCTAATGGGGATGATCCTTGTAAATATCTTGTTGCTACCAATCATTCTATTGGAGAATGCATCAATACTGGTATTTGCTGCCAAGAACAGCAATCCATTGAAACTGTCCGGTTCGAATATCAGAGGAGCATGTGTGTTTGGCGATTTCATTGAAGGCACGGAAGCTCAATTTTGCAAGGAATATCGCCTTGACGCTTTTGAGGACTGGTCCTATTATGACATCATCTCAGACTGCAAAAAGGAATACAACAGCACGTACAAGCGTAAAAAATCATGCATATCATTCTTACCAGATTCACTTCCTTTTGCAGGGTATTGTGTGAAACGAACCAAAGGTAAATTATTATCGATACCCATGATGATTACGGAGAGGGAAGACTGCGCTTATAAAAAAATGCTTTGCGAGGACTTTTTTTCTGGATCCTTTGATCCGCTTATTTCCACGGGTAATTGTGAACCGTTTGCTTCAATCGTCCTAGACGAACCAAAGCTTCCAACTTCAACAGGGAGCAGCATCAACAACAATTACGCAGAGATAGCTTCAGAAGATTCCACTGGATGTATTGATTCCTTATCATCTACGGCAGTGATAGACTGCCCCAGCTTCCCGAGCATGATTGTCTCGTTCGGAGGCATTAAAGTTGATTGCAGCGACAAAGTTCCGCTGGAACTCGCCTCCATCCCGCCCGTCGTCAAGGTGCGGTCGGGGGTCATCGGCGATCCCGACGGGTTCTATTCACTACTTTTGGTCGATACAACAACGATAGCAAACAGCTACAATGCCAGCAACACTCATCCAATTTTGCACTACGGTGCAGTAAACATACCAGGGCATTCTCTAGAAGATGGATTCTCCCTGTTCAATACCATCGGAACGGAGGCTGACGTTTTTTCGCCGTACCGAGGACCTAATCCACCCAGGCCATCAGATCCGTGGGCACCACCGGATGTCGACCGTATCCCGTTTGTGTACGAGTTCATGATACAGAAGCAAGACAAGGGCCAACTCGTGGGAGCAGACGTTCAGAAGAGACTAGAGACGAACACAAATTTTGACTATGAATCATTCTTTGGCTCTGGCAGCAATGCTAGTGGGTTGGAGGACCTCCTCATTTCTTCAACGACCTTTTGGTCGGGGTGGTGTGTAGTAAACAAAGTGGGAAATTTAAAAGTCAAAAAAGACATTTTGATGGAATCTTTTGAAGATCCTAAATTTGAGTGGACGGAAGTGGGAAGAAAGAGTGGCTCTAAGATGGAGATCGTGGACGGAGTGATGGTTCTCACTGCCAACGGCTCATCATATGAAGTGTATGATGATGTAAAGTTTGATTCAAATATGACTAGCATAGATGACGATGAAATTCTTGTAAGCGATGATAAATCATCGTCAATATCTTTGATGCCGTCGGTCATTTCGACCGTGAGCGCTCGGGGTGACTTTCCCGATCTATCCAAATGCGACGGATTGAAGATGGTCGTCAAATCAGAAACTCCTATGGGAGACGAGAGTATGAGTAATGTTTACAGTATCGGTTTGGCGTTCCAACAAAGGCACGGCGAACCATCATTCGCTTTTACATATGGAGCCAGTCTTGCATGGCCATCGTCGCTAACAGTATCAAGCGAGAGATCCATTGAGAAAACCAAATTCTCGGAGCTCATCATTCCATTCAAGGAGTTCACCCTAGACTGGGATTGGAACACTGGGAAAGAACTCTCGTCGTGTTCAGAGAACGCCACCAATTGCCTGGACCAAACAACACTACAAAACATGGAAAACCTAACAATAACAACCAGTCTAAGCAATGCAACAGACGGCTATTCGGAATTGCAAATCCATTCCATTTATGCCATCGGGTGTGAAAGCACCCTGGGCAATGATGATGCGCAAAATGACGGAGATCGGACGTGCAGCAATTGGAACAGTAGCTTCCCACCTTTGATGGATGAAATTCCAATCGAATCCTTCCTGGACCCAACCTACGACTGGATGACCGTTAACGATCCTATCATGGGTGGAGAATCCTATAGCAGCATGTCGTTGGAAGACGGAGCTGCCGTTTTCTCTGGCGAGGTGAMAGACGTCCCCTTCTTGGGCGGTAAGTGATGATCCTTGTGGGTTCGTGAAATTTTGCTGAAGATCCCGTTGCTCTAGTGACTTATCAGTTGTTCCTCTTTCTCGGCTCGGATCTTTTGTTGAACTCTTATCTTTCCAGTGCCAGGATTCATAAAAATGGAAGCAAATGGAGGAAGATACCCCGACGTTTCCTGCTGTGATTCTATCAAGCTTACCGTCATGACCGACGGAGATTACGATGGCTACTATTTCGGGTTTGGTTCTACGTTCGCGTACAAAGCAGAATTAAATATTTCTTTGGTTGGCGAATACGTTGATGTGATCATTCCGTTCGATGCCTTCAGCGTTGAATGGTACGAGGGAACGTCCATAACAAAAATTCGTGTGACGTGCGCCGATGACCCCAGCTTTTGCCAGCAAACACTCAAAAACATGGAGTCCCTTAGCATTTGGGGAGAGGGCGTGGAAGGGTCGATCAATTTGAAAACTAAATCTATCAGTGCCGTGGGGTGCTCTCCTGCAGATGTAAAAGGACTTGATGATACCGGACTGTCCTCTGTGTCTAGCAGGGTCAAATTCCAGATACTTCCAACTACGGTTCTGGCCATGACATGTCTTCTTTTTCCCCTCTTGTTCTAACAGCATTTTCATTCCTGGTGACATTTGCAGTTTGTACTGTACTATATTTTACGCCTAATTTAAAATTTGATACTACTAAATTTACGAAGGTTCATAATTCGTGAACTGAGAACTGGACAAACCAACTTTGAAATTCATCAAGCTACGCAAATTAAATATGTTTCATAACAATTACCATACATCCAAAATTTACACAGGATATTTTCATTATCAGATGACCCCAAACTGGGAACAGTCCCTTTTTTGACTTCAACATAGTATTGTAGTACCAGTATGGAATGTTTAGATTTGAAATATGAGGACCTTTGATGCTTCAGGGATAACCTGATAATCAGAAAAGTATACTACATGTGGGAGTGACTATCTAATAGTGATATAAAGCAAGTACTAGAAGAAAAGTGAGTCCATGCTCTTATCAAGCAAACTATGAAATAAAAAATTGATCAGAGTGAAGATCAAGTGATGTGTGTGAATAAAATGAGTCAAGTCAGTCACATGAGTGAATCAAATGAGTGGGGTCAATTGTGTGGATCCATTAAATCAAATGAGTCCTGAATGTAGAGTGTGTATGAATTGTAGGTATATGTAATATATATGTTTCATAGATTTGAATCAAACCCACAATCTGATATCCTGTGGACAGCACCCTCCCGTGACCTGTGATGTGTGAATCAAGCAGATCATAGCAGAAAAGACGAGGAAGGAGGATATCAGATTGGTGGAGCTGGAGCAAAGTGCCTGATGAGTCGGCATATGTGGTGATTGTGAAGGACCCAGCCACAAGGTTTGTCAGTGCATCTGCAGGATTTATTGTGCCTTTGATGAACTGCATCTTGATATATCCTATATCATGGGCCAAGCAAAAAAAGACAGCCCCAGTCATACATTAGGAATGCTCAATATACATGCATGTATATTGATCAATATTTATTGGATGCCATACTCCCCCACCACATTCGAACAAAGCTCTTTTAATTCTCTTTTTAACCATGTGATTATCATACTTAAGCATCCGTTGGGGAAAAAATTATAGCTGTTTGAGTGAGTTGAACCTCTCTCAATGCCCTACATGTTTTTTGTACTGTGCGTGGATAACCGGCCATCTAATTACTGTGTAATAACTACTTTGACTGAGCCGGCACGTGCTGAATTTTTGAATCCCACATTTGTGCGACCAAATAGTTTTCAAAAAGTTTCACTCAYATGTGCATGCTGTAGACTGCAGTACAAGCCAATTTTTTAATCCCACGAGTCATTACAAGGTAATTAGATGGCCCAAAATGTACAACTGGGACCGTACATTAGCTGGCCAATGCTATACAATAGGTCTCATTTCCAATCTTGTATTGCAAAGTAAKGGATATCAATGTGTTGTGATTGTTCTGTGGGAACTCCTGGTGAGGAGTTTACAATTTTTATGGTGGAATCAAGCAATTTGAGATATGCTACCAAGTGCACAATTATGCTGTCCATAGGATATCATATYGTGGGTATGATTCATATCTACATCGCATACATACTACACTTACCTATGATTCATACACACTCTACATTCATGACTCATTCAATCCTATGCATCCACACCATTGACTTGACTCATTTGATTCACACATCACTCCATCTTCATTCTGATCCATCTTTGATTTCATAGTTTGTCAATCCTTGATAAGAGTATGGACTCACTTTTCTTCTAGCACTCAGTTTACATCACTATTAGATAGTCACTCCCACAGGTTATGACACCCTTCCAATAAAAAATCACCCCCACCATGGTTATCTTTTTTAGGTGTGCTCTCTCCTAACACGACTCTCCCACGTACAATTGCTCACGAGCCTTTGAACAACAAACTGTCATCGCACATACAAAGTGACAACTACTAAGGAGACATTGACATTCATTCACTGACACACATAATGCAGCAACTACTGACAAGCATCAACATTCATTGCCTGAAACAACTTTTTGTTCCACCATACTCACCATTGGCGATGGCTACACACTTACCCAGAAGCAAGCAAAGCATCGACAGTGAGTGGTGACAAAAGTCTGCACTCTGTTTGAACTGAAATCACAGACATGTCCATCCCACGCCCACCTATTCCCAGAAGATATGGAAACCTTTTTATCAACTGCATCTACTTCCATGCTCACATTTACCTTCAAGTCTACGAGAAAACTATTCTGGCAAGTGTCACCAAAGCAACACTTGCCTCTGTCTCCAACACTCGCCCTCTTACTCAGTACTTTACGCCAATGCCTCATCATAGTAAGCAGCAACCGGAGAGCGTCACACAAGATTCACTGGTCTTTGACGCCTACTCCAAAAAGAAGCGACACAAACAACCTGTCATGCCAGATACTACTTTGGCTCCTCCTGTCAATTCTTCCAGTTTACTTCAAACCAAGCTCAGTCAATACTTTTAATTCCAGTGAAACAAACCCCTGGTTGCACTTCCACTAACACTCCTCGGAGGGATGTGCCACCCCTCGGAGCAGCTAGGAGCATTTTTTCTAACGAAAGCTATGGTTCTGGCCATATAGTGCCTCTTCTACTAGTTCACGAGGTAAAACATAATATTAAGATTTTTTTTTTTACTCACCATTGGCGATGTTCAAATATTCTTTACGCCATCATTTTGAAATCAAAATCTTGACTCAAGACACATGTTCTTGCCTTTCAAAACATATTTGGCATTAGCAAACCCATCATAATCTTTAACTTGCACTTGCATGTTGAAAATAAACCCCACACTCGTGCAATCACGCATTTATTCTTTCTTTATTCCAACACCCCAGATGCAACCATCTCACTTCACAAGACCAACACACATTGCTGTAAAACTCCTCCAAAAACAATTCAACAAGCTTCTCATGAAAACTGATAGCTTTGGTAACTACCAACAACAAATTATCGCTTCACAACAATCATCTCATAAAACATCTTTTGATTCAAATCAAAACATCTTTTCTTCCAAAGTGTCTTTCCCTTCCAGTCCTTCAAATCTCCAAGACTTACATTTTCACCATGCCAGCAACAAGAAGCAGATCTAGATCACCTTCTGGTCCCCTCCACGCTCCTTTCATCCAAAGGTTGCATATGTCAATGTCATCTTTCAGGACCATCAACTTCATCCCAACTTGATTGATGAAATGAACAACAACTATTGCTTGTCTCTTGACTTTGAACAATTCCTTAACCAAAATGGCGATGCCTTTGAAGATCAGCAATTGACTATCCCAACCATTGAACAAGCAATTATTGACAGCATCAAACAAAATGCAGTCAACACTGACAACATCGGCGGTATTGAAGATATCATCGACAATAAAACCTTGCTTATGGTAACTGTTGCAAAAGGCACATGCCTTAAACTTTGAAACAACATCCGCACTCTCACCTGTGGTCTCAAATTTGTCCCCAAATCCAACAACAAAAATACCCTTTTTCTTCATATTAATTGGTCTCCCATTTTCATTGATGAAAGACCAATTTCCAAAGATGTCTACAACTTCAGTATTTTCTCGCAAACTCATTTCCCTCCTCTGGTCAATCCAACAAATCAGACCCATGCTAACAATACAACCCAGCCACCACCTGTTGACCCAAACATAGTGCATCTCTTTACTGAGAATAGAAACATGATGCAACAACAGGCAACAATGATTGAGCACCTTGCTCCAAAAGCAAAGACCTATAGTCTGAACATCGTCCCTTTTGTCCCCATGAACTACCCAGATCAAGTCAAAGATTGATACAAGCTCAACATAACCCAGTATAAATACCCTACTTCTGATACTTTGACTGACATCCTCAATACATCATCCAACTTCTTGTTGACCTCGGACCACAAAGTGAAAAGAAGAACTTCCGCACTACAGCAAACAAAATCACACAGAACACAGCATATGAACCATGCAATTGGTATACATGTTTCACAGCTCATTGTTTGCATTTTGGAAAATACTGCCACACTTACCCATGCTTCTGTCCTAAAAGTGAATTCACCTTAGGTATAAACCAAGAAGATGACCTCCACTCAACCTTTGAGACAAAAATATCAACTGATTCTTGGATTATCTGGGATGTCATCCATTCAGTCTTTGCCTCCAAAGATAAATACAGCCATATTATTGAACTCCACAATGGCCCTATTGATCACCGGTAAAAGTTTGAAAGGTGGGAAAGGTACATTTGTACATTGAATATTCAAAGTGCCACTGTCAGACAGTTGGACTAAATCACAATTAAATAGTGAATGAGCTCACTCTGTATTGTCAACACGTATTTAATCTTAAGAAAGTAGAATTACATGCGTACTAAATTTTGCATGTCTTTGAAAACCTACTGAAACCCACAGGAAAGAGCAGGGACGCAACTAAAAATTTATTGATATGCAGAAAAAGTTTGCGCAATAGCAAGAAGGAAMAAGTAGTGGTGGGTAAAAATTCCTAGGGCAGAATGGTTTTTACATTATTTTGATCTAGATTCCTTTGACTATTACTACTACTAGGGAAGCATTGGGTTACATACATTATCATTTTTGAGTGAGTAACTTAGGTAGACCAAGGATTGGATACATGAGGTGCGAGTGGGTGTGATATGTCAATCAATAGGGAGAAGTAGTGACTAACAAAAGAAAACAGTTATTACAAGTAAAACACTATTTCAACATGGGTATTGCAGAAAATTGTGTCTAATTTCATCTACAGCATATCAACAGACATGTCTTTGTCACAAGTGGTCAGACAGAATGAAGAACAGGAGGAGAGAATGGCAGTTGTTAGTGACATAAGATTGGACCATGTAGACGAGACCGTGTTAAAACAAACACTGACTACTAACTATGTAAGGTACGTTTTGTTCAAGCACACAAAGTTTCTAGTAAAGGATAACATCATGGAAAACATAGTAAAAAAACAGGTAAAGGAAAGTACCAGGGGGGGGGGAATCCACCAGAGGGCCTAGTAATGTCTGCTAGTTGTTGGGCGGGAACAATCAATGGGGCAGTAACTGTGTGCAGACATAATGCACAGACACTGCCTAAAAAAACTACAAGGGTAAGAAGCAAGGTGCTGCATGTATAGTACCCCAGTCTCTCAATTTCTTTCCCTCCTTGATAAGTTTAGACAACAAAAAGAATGGTGTTGTTCTGCCTACTTTCACAAAAAAATGTTTCATAACAGAAAGCAAAGATGGTTTGTCATTCATGTTAAACCCAGAGTATAGAAGAAAGAACACACCAGAGTTTGAGTACTTAGTGAGACAAATATTAGGCGCAGTATCACCATAACAAAACGACTTCAAGAGGAAAAGACACAACAAGAACACAGTGAGCAAAATATTCAGCGCAACAGAAGAGGGTTTTGCACTCGTCTTCTTGTTCAATGACTATGAGTCTTGGAATAATTCAGGAAACAGAAAGAAAATGCAAAAACAATTCATGGATAGTAGGATCAGAAGCAAGGAAKGCTGGAGCCTGCAGGGACGTATGTAGTTCATAAAGCTTGTAGAAGAGATAACAAAAAAAGAGCAGAAGAAAGTACAAGAACCATTGAGACGGCATTAATGACAGACTACAGAGAAACCATGGGTAACTACTGCTACTAACTACTACTACTACTAGTACTAGTACTAGTAGTACTACTACTACTAGTACTACTACTACTAGTACTACTACTAGTACTACTACTACTACTACTACTACTACTACTACTACTACTAATACTAATACTAATACCGGTACTGGTTAGGTGAAACTCATCATAGTACTAGTACTACCAGCTAGCACTACTAGCTAGTGCCAGTACTACTACGTCACGTAGTAGTACTACTAGTATGCTAAAAAATTATGTTCATTTTCTTTCAATATTTAAATAGTAGTGCAAATATCAATTTAATGTCCAACAAAATGATATATTCAGAATCAGCATGAAAAAAAAAAGGACTAGACTGGCTACTCAAACATTAAAATAGTATATTTTTGATAAAGGTACTACTATCTGCTTAAAAGGTTGGATAGTTTTACTAGTATTATCATGCAGTACATAAAAAAATCCTGGGGTGACTTTTTGGAAATTTGGACCACACGTGGAATATGAGTTTCGACKCGATGCACACCCCTCTATTTTATGACCCCTGCGTACGAGTACGTACTGGTACTCGTAATCGTACGTGTATCGTAACGGATGGTAAGTGCTCGTACTTGCGGTACGATGAAAAACATCACATTCTGTACCGTATTACGAGTACGAGTACGTTCGTACAGGTACTGCCACGAGCACGGTATGATGATACTACTTCTTGACTTACTCATCTGTGCCAGTCGTTGCGATTATCCATTTTTTTCAGCATCCAACCTACCGCTGTTCAGTGCAGATTCAGTKCAGATTGATAGCTGTCAATGGATGTTGTATCAATTCTTTGATAATTCAAAAGAAGAAAACCAAACATATCATTGAAGTCACGTCGAAGAAACATACTCAAGCTTCATACCATGTCGGTCAGCGACAATGGAYCCTTCGGGACGACGGTAATTCCAACTGGATCGTACAGTATTTCGTTCGATGATCAAAAGCTTCAAAGCAGCCAATTCGATGGAATCGCCCAGCAACCCCAGACCCAGCCCATCGCCGTCTACGAGGCTTCCAAAAATGATACGCTGGATCCCCTGGTCCGCTTGAACAGCAACCTGATCGATGTGAACCCCCAATTCGTCGTCTACACCGTAAAGAATGGCCTGATCCGTGTCATGCACCGTCACTCGTCCGAACGAGGCCTGCTCCGTGGACACCAGAACCAGGTTGTCACAGACATTAATTTCTTTCACGACGGAGACGTGCTGGGAACCGTCGGATATTCGGAGAAGCAGCAGTCTTCCACCCTGATCGTATGGCGTGTCTACCAGCGATCGCCGGGGATATTTTCGGAACGCCTGCTGGAAATATCCACCGATAGCAGCAACGCCTGCATCCTAAGCCGATTGGTGTGGCATCCCTTTAACCCGAACCAGTTCTGGATGACCCATTCGACAAAATCCAACAAACAGGTTGCAACTCTTGTGGAAACGACACGGATCCAGACCAAGCTGGTGGCGACGCCAAAGGACCCCAAGGCGAAGTCATCCGACGCAGCACAACAACAGCAGCAGCACGCCTTGTGCCAATGGCATTCACCGCAGTGCGTTATGGACCAAGCCATTCAATTGCGTGCGAGTGGAAACTGTGTTACCGATGACGATGCTCAATTGGTCGACTTGTGCTGGAGCGGACGGGATGCTCGGCATGTTCTAAGCGTGCACAAGAACGGAGGTATTTTCCTTTGGGACCTCAAGGGCAAGGAAGCCGACGATGGCACTGGTCCACCGGGGGGAGATGGCGACGAAATCAAGTGCGCAGAGGATTCTTCGGTAGTCCCCCGCAAGCTTTTTTCGCTCATCGAATCGGGCGTAGAGCATTCCCGATGTTTGTTTTTGCCACACGAGCAATCAATGGAATACAACAACAAAAATACGAATCATACGAAAAACTCCCTAACAACCTGCTTTGCCACGGCATCGAACCGAAATGCCACCGTGACAATCTGGAGCTCCTTTTTGGAACCGTCCGCGAATAGCAGCAGTAAACCGGTGCTTCCTACCAAGCTGCAAGAAGTCTCGTTTTCGAGTCCGTCACCGAGCAGTTTTGTCCTGGATGTGTGTTACGGACCAGCCGATCTGAATGGAAAGCCACCGTCCAGTTTTTTGGTGCTCGGAAGCCGAGACACTGGGCGTTTGTATGCACTTCACGTCAAGGCGGAATGGTCAGAAGGCGACACCGCTAAGGCCCCTCTGTGCGTTGGGATCGATTACTTGGTTCCATTTGCTCTCAAACATCCGGTGTACTCCTGGAGCGTTGTATGTGGCCCGACCGAGCTTGGTTTGGATGATGATGAAGGAGCGTCGGGTTCCGGTTTCGACATGAAGGCCTTTGCTTACCAATCAAAGGCTGTTCAATGTCTCACAATGACCAGTAGTATGTCTCTGCCTCCGACATCGTCTGAAAGCTGCAGCAATAATGGAATTTACCAAGTGAAACCTCTAGAAGGACCTTACTCCGGTGCCAATGCCGATAACGTAGAGTCCGAGCAGAAAGACGACTACGAATACGAGTACGAAGAGGAAGACTATGACATTGAAGATATCGATCACGACGAGCCCGAGGAAGAGGAAGATCCCGTTCAGGCAGTTACGCCTGCTGCTGCCCCGGCAGTTCCTGCCCCCGCCGGTGGCCTCTTCCCGGGAGCTCCCAATCCCTTTGCCAATTGGCTCGGTGCCATTGCTGGAGGTGCAGCTGATGCTCCAACTACCACCGAAAGCAAAGACGACGACGAAGAAGAGGAAGATCTGCCGACACCACCGGCTCCTTCGGATCTTCCCATGCCTCCCGGGATCATTGCACAAGTGCCAGCAACAGGTACAGGTGATACCAATGCCACCGAGGACGGATTGACTGTGGAAGAATTCTTGAACCCCTTGGAGCTTCTTGAGAGCATCGGCGCTGGCAAGGAAACCAGCGCCCCTGCACTCGTTGTTGATGAATCAAACGGTGACACAAACGACCATCAGAAACCACCCCGCAAGGCTCCAAGCAGCAGCAACAACAAGAACAAATCGCCCTCTCAACCGCAAAGCAGCAAAAAAGGAGGCAAAACCAAGACTCCATTCCCAGATGGAAAAGTCACGATTCTCAAGCGAGATCCTGAGTCGGCGATCGTTCCGTCGGTGTCGTTGCCAGGGAAAGACACGCTTTCTCCACCGCCTCCGGTCGATCCAGCGGTCTTGGCAGATTCAGGCTTGTTAACGGCTTCTGTAGCTCCCGTTTCGGCGGCATCACCGGCGGAAGTGTCTTCGCCTACGATTGATCCCGAGGTGCTGCGAGATCAAATTGACAAGGCAGTAAGCAAGGCAGTTGACAGGTCAGTTGGCAAAGCAGTTGGCAAAGCAGTCGACAAGGCTGTTGACAAGGCTGTTGACAAGGCTATTGAAAAGGCCATGGATAAGGTCGTGTCCGGGCTCGTGGTCCCGGCAGTCGATAAGACTGTCCAGCAATCCTTTGCGGGAATGGCACGACCGCTGCATAAGTCGATGGAGTCGCTTAGCAACAAGGGTGTTTCGGTGGATGCCGATGCCCTCAGGGAGGCCATCGATGTCGAATTGCCCCTCAAGGTCGCCTTTGCTGAGGGCCTGAAAACCGTCTTGGTGCCAGCACTCGAGGGTGTAGCCGGACAAATGTTCAAGCAGGTTCAAGAGAATATGCCAAAGCCGCCACCGGCACCGGACCATTCCGCCGCCTTTGCAGCCTTGGCCCAGCAGCTGACAGTCATGACCTCTAAAATGGACGACCTCACAACAGAAGTGATAGGTTTGCGCAAGACCGTAACTACCTTGCGCAAGACTGTATCCGATCAGGCAGTAGCTGCCGCAAAGGCTGTGGGTGCTTCGGCTCCGAAACAGAATAGCGGGCAAAATGCACAGCCAGCGCAGCCCGACCCGCGGCACGAGATCGACCAGCTTCTTGCCAGGGGACAGTACGACTTAGCATTTAAGAAGGCCGTGTCAACACCTACCCCACAAATGGCRGTCTACTGCTGTGCGCGATCAAACATTGAGAAGGTTTTGAGCGGACCTTCTCCAGCATTGAGCCAACCGATTCTGATTTGCCTCATGCAGCAACTGAGTGCTGCAATGGCCGGAAAGCAGTCGCCCCAGGAACTCAACATCGAAGTGGCATGGCTGCAAGAGATCGCCCTTTGCATGAACCCTAAAGATAGTAGCATTGCCCAACACGTCCCCAATGTTGTTGGGAAACTCGTCACCACCGTCAACGCGCGCATGGAAATGGAAGGTAACGCCAGTCCCTTTCGGAGACCGTTGCAAATGCTTCTACAAATCCTTTTAGGAATGCAGCACGCGCCAAAATAAGCGTTGTTCGCAAGCAAGTCGTACACAATCAATCCAATGGGATGGAATTGTTTGTCAAATGATTAAATGAAGCAAGGAGAAAAACCCAGGGAGTGCGATCCGAGAAAGTTATTCCTTCAAAAGAAAATAGAAAAGGCTAAGACATATTTGAATTAGTATGTGTTTTGATGGAATAATTATTCAGCTGGGTTACACAACCTATTTTTTCTTTAAGAGTCACCATTGCTGCGCTTGTTACTGACGTGAAAAAGATGAATTTTGAATCGATAAATTTACTAGGTGTGGTATTTTTGACAATTCCAAATGAAAATATCAAAGCAGAACAAAACTTCAAGTGCAACTTCTTGTTTCATGGGTGAGATAGGCATAAATTCACTCTGTTGCATTAATTTTTAATTCTCTAACAAAGATAGTCCATAATCTTTTGAAGTGCTCTTTTGGGAGTCATCTTTTGAGAGGTGCCAGTATCTCTACTACTAGTAGCAGTAAGGGGGCTTCAAAAACAGGAGTTTTCTTTCTGTCTTTTTATAATTCATGTGCTACTGCACTGCCTTCCAACTACCTCAATAGCCATATTCTAATCCTCTTGTTATACTAGTTTTATTTCCTACTTGTACTACACAAACAACAGAAAAGCTTGACTTGTAAGTTCCCTTTCAATTAGCAATGGTACTGGTCTTTTTGTTGGCACATATGTATCAAAACCCACAATTTGGTGATACTACTTTTCATGCTTTGGAGTATGAGGCAGCAATAATACAAGAACACCATGATGACCTTGGAACTTTTCCTTCCATAGTGTTCATTTTGATTTGTACATATTCCAGTCCTTCATAAACCTGTCACATGTAAGGCTACTACTAGTGGCAATTATGTGCTACCAGCAGCAGGAATACATGTCCACTACAAAGCCAGCAGGCCAAGGAGATGGAACMACAAGTAAACTTCAATTTGTCTTTCTTTCTTGGCTCTTGATTATCTTATGTCCTTATTGGATAGCGTTGGCAACAAAATTACGAACGTGCCAATTGTACATTACTATGCTGTATACGTACATGCATATTAATCAATATCAATTTGACCCCAAACTCCCCTACACAACTAGAATCCTGTTTTAAATTGCTTTTGATTCATGTGTCTATCATTCCTACATAGTACATACCTAACCAGCACCTTCTGGCATCTGACGCCATGGTGGTGACATCCCCTTTGGAAGGGGAAATTCTGCATCTCTGGCCTCCATTCACACACTTTACTAACCAGCAAGCCACCACTAATATGATCACTACCCCCCTGTCCCCAGCTAATGGCAATTTGCCTCAGCTGGATCAATCCCCTGTTTCATCCAGAAGTGTCTTCCAGTTTTGAAGTTGTTTCCTGTATCTGTGCCAAATAACAACAACAGCAACCCTAGCCCCCAGTATTCAACAGTGACCTTTCCTTTGAAGAACAATGCCTGGAGTATAGACCACATATTACTCAGTTATAATAGAAGATTCCCCAGCCTTGTCCTCTCCATGCACCAGGTCCAATATTCTTTACAGAAAAGAAGATGATTCCAGTCACAATGTTGTTGTTTCTGACATCTGAGTTGGCCAACAACAACAAGAACCCAAGCCCCCAGCATTCACCCAAAACCTTTCCTTTGAAGAACAACACATGAAAAGTATGTACAAAATTGTAAGAAAATTTTGGGATTCAGCAAATGTAGCAAATGCACCACCAAGGAAGATTCCCATGGCAAATTCAAGGAGTTAACTGTGACAAGAAGTATCTAATTACTAGTACTAGTAGTAGGAGTGATTCTATGTCTTGTCATTGTGATTGGGAATGATCTAGAATTGAATTAATTTCCCAGAAAAGGTGTACAGAGCAGGAGATAATGRCCAAGAAAATTTGATTGCTATGAATACACCAAACTCAGCAATAAGAAAGCTCCCCACACCAAATGCAAGATCATTGTTGTCATACTAGAGCACAATTTAATTTGTGAAGATCTATGCTATGTTGCTGATAGAGGCGTTATGGTTCAGTAGTTCCCTCAGCAACTCCCATGCTTTTTTACAACAAGCTCTTCTTTGAGTTTTTAAAACCAAGTATTAATGTTATTGTAGGTTCTCCAATGGAGCCTCCCTTCTTTGATCTTGGTTCCTCCTTTGGCAATTTTCAGATGCTTGGCAAACATTCTTGGTAGTAACCTTCTGTAGAGAGAAATAAAATTGGGTAATAAACATGACCATGGCAAGAGACTTCAACAAACCCTTTGTGCCAAGAGATTCTTTCTTTTCTCTTTGTGGACCAGAGCTATGAAGGAGGCAATTGCATCTCCAAGTGCCCTGATAATTGCCAGTACTCGTAATGCTCTCTGTTGTCCCCAACCTGGTGGAATGTCTCCCAGACCGTCTTTGTTGCACTGTGTTTGCCTTTAACTATATGTTGTAAAGAAAGCTCACTTGAGATATGATACTAGCAACCAAATATGTGTTGTAAAGAAAGCTCAGTTGAGATATGATACTAGTAGTAGTAGCAATGGACTGATGGTTTCTTGTTGGTGGCAAGAAATTCTCATGGTCATAGTACTACTAAATGACCTTCCTAGTAGTAGAAGTAAGATATGCATTGTCGTGGACACACTTTTACAGTGCATTGTTCACTGTCTTAATGTGTGTCTGTTTTGGAGCATAAGGACTGTCTTTCAGTACTACCACTGATACCAGCAACACTCCGTTCTTTACTGCTGCTAGTACTGGTGGTGGTGGTGGTGGTGTTGGTGGCAAGAAATTCTCATGGTCATAGTACTACTAAATGACCTTCCTAGTAGTAGAAGTAAGATATGCATTGTCGTGGACACACTTTTACAGTGCATTGTTCACTGTCTTAATGTGTGTCTGTTTTGGAGCATAAGGACTGTCTTTCAGTACTACCACTGATACCAGCAACACTCCGTTCTTTACTGCTGCTAGTACTGGTGGTGGTGGTGGTGGTGGTGTTGATTTTTTTCTTGGTGGTGTTCTTTGACAAGAAGAAATCAACAAGTCCCAAAAGGCTCAGTACTAGTACATACTATGTACAGAAGAAAGAAGAAAGAAAACCCTCTCCAATTATAGATTCTCAAGCTTTCATTGGTCCTTCTTTGTTAGCAGATAGCTACAAGCAAGCCAAGCTTGCTTTTGATTACTCGTACTAGTAGAACTTTTGACTAAATGGCTTGTTTTCAATGTATTCAAAGGATAAGACAGTCTTATTTCGAATCTAAACTGGTACCTGTGTGTAGTCAGGGGTCATAAATTTAGAGGGGTGCGCATCGATTGTCAGCAATGAAAAATCAAAAATCATATTCCATCCTCGGTCCCAAAATTAAAAAATCAGCTCAAGGAATTTTTATAATTCTAATTTTTACTGCATAATACTAGTAAAACTATCCAACTTTTAAGTAGTCATRACTTTATMAAAAATRGTAATAAWRTAATTTTTGAAGACACTGTCTACACCAGTTTTTTATGAGGATTCTGAATATACCATTTTGTCAAGTATCAAATGGATCTTTAGTGTACCTTTTTAATTGTATTGGAGTACTAGTACTAGTAGTAATACCACCACCAGCAGTAGTAGTACTGGTGGTGCTGGTAATGGGAATACTTGTGGATGTGRTTGGTTCAAGAAAGAGATCCAATAGAAGTGATGGAGATGATAGCAGCAGTAGGAATGCAACAAGGAAGGAGGAAGTGTAGGAGGAAGAGGAACAAAGAGCAGAAGCGCAGCCCAATACTAGAACCACTACTAGTAAAGAAATAAATGGCATAAATACAGTAGTAAATCACACTTGACCAAACAACATTATTCATTTTTTGTAGGGACTTCATATCTTTTACCACTAGTAGTACTACTAGTATTGGTAGTAGTACTCCTAATACTACCACAACTAACATTACTAGAATAAATAGGAGTACCACTACTACTACTACTATTACTGGTCCTACTAGTCCTACAACATCCAGGTTCTCCTAGTAGCACTACTAGTACTACCAGTATTCCTGTTACCAGCACTACTACTACTACTACTGCTGGTGGCATTACTACTAGTACTCCAATACAATTAAAAAGGTACACTAAAGATCCATTTGATACTTGACAAAATGGTATATTCAGAATCCTCATAAAAAACTGGTGTAGACAGTGTCTTCAAAAATTATTTTATTACTATTTTTGATAAAGTTATGACTACTTAAAAGTTGGATAGTTTTACTAGTATTATGCAGTAAAAATTAGAATTATAAAAATTCCTTGAGCTGATTTTTTAATTTTGGGACCGAGGATGGAATATGATTTTTCGAATCGATGCGCACCCCTCTAAATTTATGACCCCTGTGCGTAGTACCGTACCGTACTGTGGACGTAGCACAAAGGGAGAATTGCGAAAGGATTCTCGAAGTTTCAAAATTGGAGAGGCCGGCGCTGCTTGGGCATATTGAATTGTGTCATTTTCTGTCTTCGCTGCAGATGTTTTTTGAATTTGTGTTAGAGTACGATAACGGTCTCCAGAAGCAACTGAAAAGTACACTACGTACCTCGACGAAAAAGTGCGAGTATTTACCGTACCACCAGTCAGTCATTACAGTGGTCCTTGCGTGCGATAAATTATTCAACGCAATAGGTACGCACGTAACCGTACCGTTCTTTAGCGGCAACCAACCAAAGTCACAACTCGTCGAGTCATACTTACCGGTAGGAGTGCGAAATTACTTGCGAAGAACTGCCACCATCCCTCACACATCATCGGTTGAAAAAGATTAAAGATTTGTTCCGCGTCGTACGTACCATCACTACTATTCCGTACGTGGGSTCAGAGGGCACCTTTCCAAATAGTGAGAGGCCTTTGTCTGAAAAAGCGACGATAACGACAAAAGAATGCTGTAGCAAATGCTACTACGGTAGTAATACTAGAAACCGTAACGAGTACGAGTACTCATACTTTTTAACTATTACGGTACGATACTCGTACTTGGTCGGCGAGAAGTACGAGTATATTTTCGTTCACAACAACCCAATACCGAACTTGATCCATGCTCAAACGTCACCAAGGGGCACAARGCAASCGTGAATACAGGGTGCTGTACCTCTCGTAGCTGATAGCTACCAGCACTGTACCAGGAAGAAGGGGCTCTTTCTGCGAAGCACCAATTTTTGGAGGAAGGGAAGTGCGGGCTGTCTTGCAGTGCACCTCAGTGGCAACAAGGCAAGCAAGCAGTCGCCATGTCCTTCCACCAACTCAAACAACAGCGAAAGGATGCCCTCCATCTTTCCATCGCGGCTCCCTCTGCTGACACCCTGCGCGATATTCGCGAAGCGGTGGAGGCCGCCGATGAAAATGGTGGCGAAATTAGCAATCCAAACAGCAACAGCAACAACAACCCAAGCACTGCCGATCATTTCCGTAACTCCAAGAACGACGGACTCCCATCGGAAATGGTCAGCGACGAAATTGACGACGACGACGATGCCTCGGGCAGCGGATCGTGGGCAACCATGAGCGACATCGATTCGCAATACACTCGGCAAAGCAAGAGTAGCCGGTGGAGCAACAACATCATGGAACTCTCCATGATTACCGACAGCGAATACAGCCTGGGTATCTACGACGAGAACGACTATGACGACGAGAGTGAASATGCCGACGGCAACGTCAACAAATCGCTGTTGACGGGAACGATCCCTCCAATCGTCTCGGCAACGTCTCTGACGGAGGCAATCGCCTCCACCAAGAGGAGTGGTCCTCCTTCCTTGTTCTTTTCTACGACCCCGCCGACCTCGAATGGTGCGRCAATGGGAATGCCGGTAACGACAATTGGCACCGCCAATTCTCCCAGAATWGTCAGCCCACAACTCAGTCCGCAACCAGACAGCAGAAACAACGAGAACGASAACGAGGACGACAACGCATCGGAACAAACGGGAGGGAACGTCACGTCGGAAAGCCGGGAACGGAGAAGGTCTTCCCTGAAAAGCAGCAACTCAAGGTCTTCGTCGTCGAAGCGGAAAAAGAGCAAGGCTTCCAAGAAGGCGTCTATGCCAACCGATGGCGTCGAACGACCGCATTCTCCCCCCTTGCCACCACACATTCCCCTCGAAAACGCCGAAGCCGCGAAAGCCCACAGGGCACGCCTCTTGGAATGGCGCCAGAAATGCCTCCAAGAAGCCGAAGACCAAGTTTTCGAAGCCCGCCAGGAACTGGCCGGTGTCTCCCAGCACCTGGAATTGCTMCAGGAACGCCACACCGCCGAAATCCGTGAGCTCCAAGAGCAGCTCGATCGCCAGAAAGAGGAACACCGCAAGACCCAGATTGCTTCGGACGCCACGTTCCAGAGCCTCCAAAAGGAGAATCGTGCACTCTTGCAGCAGCAGCAGCAGCAGCAGCAACAGCCGCAGCAACAAGCGACCACGGCCGGGACCGAAAACAGCTCCAGAAACGCCAAGGAAGCCATCGTTCGCGACCTCGAGCTGGAATCCAAGAAGACCATGGACAAAGTGATCTCTGACCACAACAAAATCTTGCAGGCGCTCCAAAGCGAAAAAGCTTTGGCCGAATCCAACCTGAAGAACGCCCTGGGAAGACTCCAATCACTGGAATCCGAGAACGAGCAACTGCTCCAAGACAAGCAAGGTCTAGAAAGCCAGCTGGAAACGACTCAAAAGAAAGTCCGGTTTGCTGAGCAACAAAGCTCAGTTCTTGAATTCAAGGTCGACGAGTACAAGAGCAAATGGGAAAATTCCTTGAAGCGGTCGCGCATCGTCGAATCGGAACTGGTGACGGTGAGGTGCGATCTACAAGCTGCCAAGCAAAAGCAACACGATGCCGAACTCCAGAAACAGCAGCGGGAGCAAGAAGATTCCGAAGCCAACAAGCAGCTCGAGGTCAAACTCCAATCTTTGACCGAGGACCGAGAATCCCTCCAAGCCCAGCTACAAGCCGCTAATAGGCAAAAAGACACCCTAGAAACCGACCTGTTCCAAGCCAAAGACGAATCCGTCCGGCTCCAGGGCGAACTTTCCGATCTTCGAACCTCAATGCGACGCGCCGAGACCGAGCACGAGCTGGACAAAAGCAAGCAAACCGAGTCGTTTCAGTCGGAACTGAGGGAGCTCCGCAATTCCATGGCCCTTCTCGTGGCAACCGACGAGCAACGCCACACCGAGCTCGACCGACTCAGGGCAAGTGAGTCGGAACTGAAATCGAAATTAGTAGCAGCGGTCAACGAAGTAACTGGACTGCAATCTTACAAAGCCATGCCCGAGCAGAACACCGAAGAACAATGGCGTCGGTCATTCGAAGCCGAAAGAATAGAGCATCAATTTCCAGATTTCTTACTCTCTGAACTCAAWGCTTCCGTTACGAAGGCCCAAGAACGGCAGGAATCGTGGACAACCGAACTCGAGGGTCTTCGCACCTCCATCGCCGCCCTTACCACCGAAAACGAGCAACACCAGGCCGAGCTATCGGAACTCAGAGCGAAAGAGTCCAAATTGAAAGCGGACGCAAATGCCGCAGCGGTCCAGGCCGAAGCCGAATTTGAGCGAGAGAGGCAAAAAGCAAACGATAACGAACAGAAACTCGTTTCCGAGCTAGCGGAATCCAGATCCAAGGCCAAATATCTGGAAGGCGAGACGGAGGCGCTCCAATCGAAAGTTCTGGCCCTGGAAGAGGAGCAAACGAATCTCGAAACCGAACTGAGGGAAACAAAGAATCGATGGGAGGACGCAAAGGCCGACTCGGAGCAAGCCGAGCGCGATCTAAAAGTTGTGCGCGAGGATCTCGCCAAAACCAGGGCATCTCTCGAAGGTTTGGAATCGGAACACACAAAACTGATCGCCGAACAGAAAGTGTTGGTAGACACCCACGAAAAAGAAGTTCGGGAACAACAGTCCGAAATATTGTTGAGCCAAACACGGGAACGAACCTTGCAGAACGAGCTCAACGCACTTCGGGAACAACRAAAAACCGCGGAACAAGAAGCAAGAGACTTGGAGTCAAAGCTACAATCTACACGCGAAGACCATGCTGCTCTGGCCGACACACACAGAGCATCTAAGCTTGCTTCGGAGACCGAGATTCTTGCTCTGAAATCCGAAAAAGATGCTCTGACAAAGCAGGCCCTCGCCTTGAAGTCAACGCTTGCGGATCTTGAAGAGCAACTTGGAAAAGCGAAGAAGAAATGTGATTTTCTGCAACGAGCACAGGACGACGCAAACGCCGAGCTAGATCGCAGATCGAAGGAACAYGAAGCTATTTCAAAGACCTCTTCCGAAGAGTACGAGAAATTGGCATCAGAGCGAGACAATCTTCGAAAGAAAGTCCAATCGTTCGCGAAGAAGGAGACCGAGCTCGAAGGGAAATTGATAAGCATCGTTAATATTTTAGAGACTTCAAATGCCAATCTCACGGCCAACGAGCAGGAACGCCTCGAAACGGAAGAACTGCTCGCCGAGGAAAGAGAAACGACCCAAGCGAAAATCTTGCAACTCGAAGAAGAATGCGAAGTATTGAAGGGGAAAATTACGATCGTGAAGGGAGAGAAGAATGACTTGGACACAGAACTGTCTGCTGTTCAAAAAGAGCATTATCAACTCAAGGAAACACAGAAGATTTCAGAGGAGAAACTATCGAAGTTCTTGCTGCTACAGGACGAACTCAAGGCATCGAGTCAGAAACAACTCTCCGATCTATTGAACCAACGAAATGGGTTTTCAAAGGATCTAGACGAGTCAAACCGAAAACAAACCGAGTTAGAAGAAACTCTCCTTGAAACAACGGAACTCTTGGACGAGACCAAACGTATTCTTGTTCAAAAAGACATCAAATTTGAGGAGCTCGAATGCAAGTTTGAGAATGCAAAGGAAAGCATTCGTCACCTTGAAAAGGAGCAATCCCGTAGGAGGTTCGAAAAGGACGAAACCGACGCTCTGCACGCTCGAGTTGTCGAGGAGCATCGTATCTCTGCGAAGAATCTAGAGGATAGGTTAGGAATCGCAACGCAGAAAGTAACCGACCTGAACATAGAGCAGGAAGTCGTGGCCAAAACCATTCAGAATTTAAAAGCCGATCAAACCGCACTTGAGGGAAAACTGAAAGAGTCGGTGGACTCGTTGGCCAAAAAKAATTCTCAGCTAGAACAAAATCAGAATGTACGGCAGCAGCTTGAGGGAAAGATTAACGAGCTGGAAGAAAGATGTGAATTTCTGAAAGTGGAACAATCCGATGCCAAAGGTGAAACGGAGACCGTCAAGGTTCTCTATGAGAACGCCCTCCAGGACCACAATGAGCTCATTAAGAAGATGGAAGAACTCGAAGCCTCCGCTGCAGAATCGGTAGCAGCGATCCGAACCGAGATCGTTGCGGAACAGAACGTGCGGATCGAAAACGCTGAGACCGAGATGCGAAACGCCCAGGCCCAACTTGATATTCTAAAAGAAGAGCAGAACCGACACGAGATTGCGACCGCCAATGAGAAGGCTTTGATGGTTGCTCACCACGTAGTGATGACAAGGCGCCACGAGGCATCTATTGCAGCACTCCAAGAAGAGTTGGAAGCCATCCGGAAGCAAGCATTGGATTCGGAGGATGAAAAGGAGGTATTGCAAAAACAATTGAAATCTCTCGAGGATAAGGAAATGGCCCTGGGACAAAAGTATACGGCCACACTCGAGACGCTGCATACCACTACATCGAGATTAGATCAGGCAGAGCTCGAAAAATCTGTCCTTAAATCAAAACTCACAGAGCTAGAAGCGGATTTTGAGGCAATAAAGACCGTGCAAACCGATGTCTCGAGGAAAACGAAAGCTTTCATTGCATCCYATGAGGCAGAGATGACTAAAAGTGAAATGCTCATTSAGGAGGCAGAGAACGAAGTGAAATCCTTTAAAAAAAAAGTTGCCGTGTTGGAAAGAGAAAGCGAATCTTTCAAGCAGACCGCCATCAAAGAAAAAGAGAGCATGTTGGCTCTGCATTCAAAGGAATTGAAAGATTACGAGAATTTATCTCAAGACCTACAATTGAAACTCGTAGCTTCTGAACAAGACGCTCTCGAATCCAAAAGAAAGAGAGAAGAACTACAGCATGTCATAACATCACTCGATTCGGAGCTCATGGCTCTGAAAGATGAGTTTGAAAAGTTTTCACATCTCCTCAGGAAGGCTGAAAGTGATCTGAAGGAAACAGAAGAGAATGAGAGTTGTTTGCGAAGCGAACTAATGATATTGCAAGACAAGGTTGATTCATTGGAACTCGAGCAGTCGAACTCAAAAAAAGAACTGGATGCCCAATTGAATATGATTGAAGAGCAAAAGAAAGCAATAAAGAATGCAGAAACGGCAACTCTACTAGCTAAAGAACAGGAAAAATTGTCAAGGAGCGAAGCAGAATCTCTCAGAATATCTTTCGAAAAAGAGAAGCAGGAATCTATTGCATTGCACTCGTTAGCTATCGATAATCACTGCAATTCATCCCGTGCACTCCGAGAGAAACTTGGTGCAGCGGAAATGCAAGCAGAAAAGTACAAGCAAGAGAAAGAAAAACTCAACGACCAAGTCGTCTCACTGAATATGGAACTCATCAATCACAAGGACGAATTCGACAAGGCTCTAGTCACCTTCAAAACTACTGCTGGTGAACTTCAAGAAGCAAATGAACGCGAGAGCTTGTTGAAAAAGCAACTTTCAAACTTGCAGGCGAAACTAGATTGTACAAAAGCCGAAAAGGCCGATGTCTCGATCAGAATGCAAACACTTCTCGATTGTCATTCGAAAGAGGTGAGAGAGAACCAAGAATCCATCAAGAACGCCAAAGCGGACGTAAAATCGGCGAAGACGGAGCTGGATCATCTTCATCAAAAGCACGAAGAGCTCAAGAAGATTATTGCGGTGGAAAGAGAGAGGGATTTACAAGCCCATTCAAAGGAGATGGAGGAAGWCGTTCGATCAATGCGMAGTCTTCGGAACGATCTGGACTTTGCTCAAAAGGAATGTCAAATATTCACGAAGGAGAAAAACGAACTCCATGAACGATTACAAGCAATAGCGGGGGAACGATTGGATCTTCAATCAGCATTTACTACAGCGTCGAATCGTCTTTCAGAAGTCGAACGTCAGTTGAGAATCGAAGAGGAGGAAAAAATAAACATCCAGGCTGCACTGTTAAAGATGCAACGGAACTATGAATTGATGAAGAACGAACGAAATGAAACAAGAGTCAAAATGAACGAAATGGTTTCAGTACATGCTGCTGCTCTGGAAAAGCAGAAACTGCTCGTCGAAAAATCACAGGCAAACGCACAGGAAACGACGGAGCAGATGAAGGTACTCCAATCTGAAAAAGTGAAACTAGAAGAATCACGTGATGCATTGAAAGATAAAAACGATGATCTGCGGTCAAAGCATGAATCAGCATTATCATCGATCGATCTGCTGAATGCTTGCGTTCAAAAAACAGAAAAAGCGAGAATCGAAATGGAAGCCAACCTAAGGGATGCAGAAAGACGTGAAGAATCGCTCGTACAAAGTGTGAAATCTGTCACTGAAGAAAATTCGTCTCTGAAAACAGCTATCGAAGTATCTGAGACAGACCACAAGGCTCAAGTATACCGTCTGGAATATTCGAAACTYGAGGTTTCAATTGTGAATGAAAAAATGTCGAAGGAGATTTCGAATCTACGAGATGCTCATTTGGGTGAATCTGAGCTGCGTGAAATGTCTGAGAAGAAAAATTTGGATCTACAGCACAAATTGGATGAAGCCATAACTCGGAACACGGAACTGGCCGATGAGCACAACCACGCAATGCTTGGTGCTCAAAATCAAATAGGCATTCTTCAATGTCAGCAGAAAACTTTACATCAAAGAATGGAGATAGCAGAAGCAGCAAGAATGGTAGCAGAAAAAGGTGCTGAAGAAAACGCTATCGTTTTGGAAGGCATCCAATCTGATCTCAGGAATTCGAAGAGAGAAAACGATAGCCTGATTTCTGGATTGAATGAAGCGAAAGGGACGATACTTGCTCTCAAGAAAGACGTCGAAGAGGCACTTACGGAAAAGGAAGAATACTACAGGGCCTTCAGAGATCTTGAAGAAGAAATTGGCGTAACGAGGAAGAGAATGCAAGTCATTGAAACGGATAGACAACGTCTTGAAAACGAGATGCAATCTATGAAAGATGACCGCGACAAATTGGAAGAAGAATCAAAGCTCACTCGTTCTCGACTAAATACTAGAGATGCCGAGGTCGAGTCGTTGGAGAAAGSTTTGAAAGGAGAACGGGAAAACCTGGGATCTTTGGAACACAAGAATAACTTTTTATCACAAGAAAAGAAAAATCTGGATCTCGAAATCGAGAAACTCGCGTCAAATCTCARAGATTCACGTGTCATCGCGGCGAGGGAACAAGAGAATCACAATGCATCGAAGAAACAGATGTTGGCAATACGGAAGGAGTGTGATGAGCTTCTTTCTCAGCTTTCTGCTTCAAAACAAGAAGTTGAGACGAAAGTGAACAAGGAATCTCATCTATGTGAAGAAATCTCATCACTCAAGAACCAAATCTATGAATTAAACAAAGAGAAAGATGAGCTCAAAGAATTGAATGCATCCGTAGAAAAGAAGAAAGTGCAAGAGGCTCAGGATTTGCGACAACAATTTGAAGAAGCAAATTCCAAATTAATGGAAGAAAGAGATAAGCTCATCAAGCTGAATGCATCAATCATGGATGAGAACAATATGAAGATTAAGGAATTGAATCATCAACTTGATGAAGCAAAGTCACAATCTGCAGAAAGAGACAAACTGAATACATCCTTGATGGAMAAGAAGTGTGATGAAATTCAAGATCTACATCAACAATTGGAAGAAGCAAATTCAAAGATGGCAGAGGAAAGARAGGAATTCAAGAAACAGAATGCATCAATCATGGATGAGAACAATATGAAGATTAAGGAATTGAATCATCAACTTGATGAAGCGAAATTTCAAACAGCGGAAAGAGACGAGCTTATCAAATTGAATTCCTCTTTAGTCAAGGAAAAAGAGAACGAGATTATCAATTTGCGTAGCCAATTTGATGAAGCAAATTCAAAGATGGCAGAGGAAAGAGAGGAACTCAAGAAGTTGAATTCATCGTTGTTGAAGGAAAAGGAGATGAAGATTGATGAATTACGTTGTCAACTTCAGGAAGCAAACTCAAAAATGGCAGCAGAAAGGGGCGAGATGAATAAATTGAATGCAGCTGTAGTAGACAGAAAAGAAATGGAGGTCCAGGCTTTGCGTAGCCAATTTGAGGAAGCAATKTCAAAAATGACAAAAGAAAAAGACGAGCTCAACAAACTGAATGCATCAATCAACAAAGAGACAAATTTTGAAATTCAGGATTTGCAGCGTCGACTTCAGGAAGCAAACTCAAAAATGGTAGAGGAAAGAGAGGAGTTTAACAAATTGAATGCATCAATCCGGAAGGAAAAAGAAGACGACATGCAGGATTTGCGTCGTCAGGTTGAGGAAGCGAATTCAAAAATGATGGAGGATAGACGTGAACTTGTAACTTTACATTCTACTGTCAATGGAAACAAGATTGAGAATCAAAATCTACGCTTTGAGCTCGAGGTAGCCAATAGTAAAATGACAGAAGAAAGAAACAAATATGTTGAATTAACGAAAAGCATCGAAAAGGAAAAAAATTCCATTGCGCAGGATTTGCGTTGCCAAGTCGACGAAGCAAGCTCCACTATTGCAAACTTAAAGGATACTCTTAAAACCAGTCACGAAGATAAAATCAGAGAACTCAAAGAATTGAAACGAGATCTCGAAAATGTAACCAACGAAAAGGCTGCGCAAGAAAAGAAAACTCGGAAACTAGCGAAATTACTCAAGTCGACGCTGAATCACGTTACTAGAGTATCTCGAATGAAAATGGATGTCAATTTAAGCTATCGGGACTCGAAAACAGGCGAATATCGTCGACTGCCAGCAGAAGCTGAATACTCTGGCCCAGTAGTCAATTCGAAACCACATGGAGCAGGACTCATGAAATTCAAGTGCGGAGATATGTATTTAGGCATGTTCGAAAATGGTACGTACCACCGAGTTCTTTCTTATCAGAAGAAAAAAGGGGGTTGGAATCTTTCGATATTGTTTGATACTTGCCTGTCTAACAAGTTCATTCTGTTGGCTCATTTATTTTTTGATGTTTGCTACAGGTGAAATCAATGGGGAGGGCAGCTACATTACGAGCCCAAAGAAGAGACGAGAGAATGGTTCGAGCGAGAAGAAAAAGAAACAAACAACAGCATCACTGCTGTTCAAGGGGCATTTCGACCGCAGCGAATTCTCACCAAGCCCACAAAAGCCGAAAGAAAATCACGTGCCACGCGATGATGTTGCGAGCACGAAGGTCCGTTTGTTTGCGGACCCAGAAATGATGGTAGACTTAAAAGAACTTCAACAGCACCGAATGCAACATGAAGCCGATACCGAGACTGATGTTTGATTTTTATTCCATTGAAATCTGTCGATATAGTACCGATGGAATGTAAGGGATGAATTGTAGTGTTGCATATCCATATCTTTTTATTCTTGAGATTTTATACARCATTCCGAAGATCACGATACTGCGATGGGTGAGGCAGAAACTTTCTCGCTTCGCTAACGTGTATGTGAAAATCTTTGGACCCCTGTGTAGTTTCCTTCTGTTTCCATCGGAGCACAACTGTACGCATTGAAGGGTGGGACAAACAAGCGAACTGGTTGAAGGCCGAGTTCGTCGTTTCGCTAACATGCAAAGAAGAAGCTTCCATCTCAATTTACTATGAATGTTGTCTTTTGGACTGTATTCTGGAATTGATGAAACGAGACAGTTGCTTTTTCATTTTCTTTTTGAATAAATCTAATTTTATATTACTTTTTTGACAACTTTGTTATTCGATAACATGATATTATTATCCAACTTTTTTATTGCCAACAATATAGCAATGAGAAATAGTACGCTCGAAAAAATACCGATGCTGCAATCCCAGGAATAAGCAGTAGAATCCATCAACTCATCTTCGCCACGCATCTCGCTAACCACGTTCTTGTCTTCTTCGAAATGGCCGGAGGCGAAGGTTCCATGTGGTGGCAATGCCAACCATCGTTGTGGCCATGGACGCCGCGTTCTTCTTCCAAAAGAATTACCTCGAAGACGATAATCGGGATTGTACGATATGAGCAGAAAGGAGGCGACGATTACTTCCATTGGGCGACAAAGCTTCATCGTGTTAGTTTGAGTGTCTGCAACAATGGTATTTCGAGATGCATTACCTTCTAGATTCGTGAATTTTTTTGGGTCCCGAAATGGTGGGTAGTTGACAATGATGATTAGAAGGCGATTGACTGCACGCCAAAAAGCAAAAGAAGTCAAGATACGGATAACATGGTTTTCAAATTCTTTCGCCATTGTACGTTCACTATTTACTACCTTCTCTGTGAACAACTATGGTGCATGGTGCAACATTTGCCTTTAAAAGAGAGATACTGTACTATTCTTTATGCCATGACCAGCGACAATGCTGCCACAATCGCGGAAAACAACACTACCATGGTTCCCATAGCACACGCCCCAGAGTTGGAGATCGCATCACTGCCGACGCTCGTAMCCACATACTCCTCTCCGTTCTTTTCAGTATTAGACAATCCRGAAGCAGGAAGGAGAGTCTTGGAATCGAGGGCTGTGACTTCGTTAGTGGTTGGAAAGCACTTGCAGGACTCGTCGAAGGAGACCTGCCCTCCAAAGGCATATGCCACTCCAGTTTCGGGCCACGAGGCACCCGAAAAGCGAAAGCGGAATTCCGGAATATCCGCCACCTCGTCCCATTCGGCAGAATCATCGCTTCCGGCAATCGTCGAATACTCCAAGGCTTCCACATCATTAACAGCTAGCGACTGGTGAGCGAGCGGAGGGACCAATTCAGGTGCAGCACACTGATTGGGGTGGTTGACTTCCCCACCAATTGAGAAAATAGTCCCGGAGGCTTCCACCATAGCCCCATCACCACGGGCCTGGATGAGGTCACCGGCACTGCTCCACTCGTCGGCGTCGAAATCGTACACCTCGGCACTTGTAAGAGGTTGGCACATGCCAGAATACCCTCCAGCGACGTAGGCCTTGGTACCATCCGCAGAGGAAACCGCGTGGATGTCTCCCCGCTGAGTGGTCAACGAAGCACGCTTGGTGACGACCAAATCGTCGTCGGCGCTAGATGCTAGGGCATCCGCTGTGCTGAAGCTAAAGGTGGTGTCCAGAGCATCTGGATCAAAGTACTGCGGATTGTATCCGCCAACGACGTAAATTGCGGATCCGTCAGCGTTGGTGAAAGCCCCATTGTCACTCGTCAGATAGGCTTCGGGAATGGTCCCGACAGTTGACCACGAATCCGTTTCAGGATCGTATACCTACATTTTAGAAAACATTGTTTTTGGATTATATGTTTGTGTTTGTCATATTGTTTTGTTTCGTTGGAGAAGTCAAATGATAAAGACAGAATCGTACGTAGGCATATTGAGATGACGCGTCCACGAATGAATTCGAAGAAGGCGAGGCACAAGTAACAAACGCACATTCCAACTAAAATAGAGTGTCAGAATAAAAATTACAGCAAAATACTCACATCGACTTCGGCAATGACCGTGTCGTCGGGGATCGTCCGTCCCCCAACAAGCCATAACTTTCCGGCTGCAGAAACGGCGGCGTGCCGGTATCTCGGACGTGGCATCTTGGCTCTTGTTTCGAAGGACTTGGTGTCAAAGGCAAAAAGTTGGTCCGAGTAGGTTTCACACAGGAAAAAATCTAGCTCCAACCCGTTAGCGTCGACGTAGGTGTTCCCATTCGGAGAATCACAGCCTCCGGCGATGTAAATGGCGGCTTTTGACGAAGAACCTGCCGGAACATAGGTAGAAGAGTGGTCCGAGACTGAGATAGGAAGTCTAGTGCTGGTCAAGACGTTCCAGGACAAATCTTCGTCTGCCAARACGGTTTTGGGTTTGGCACAGAAGAATAGAAACGAGGCAGAGATTGCAGCGAAAGGAGAAAGCAGCTTCATGGCGATGATTGGTTGATTGCCTAGTTAGGCAAAATAGGATTGAGAAGTTGAAGAAAGTTATTTATTCCCGGGTTCTAATCTTCAGAGGGCGAATAAATGGATCGAAGGACGCGTTGAAAAGAAACTCGGGGAAGGAACACGTCCGAGATGCTATATTGTCTTGTCAAGAAATATTGTGAATATGTGTTGACTTGAGAATTGAAACTATTCGTTGAAATAGTTTGACGTTTTGCGGAAGCTACGGGATGGGTTCTTGTCGAAACAATGGTGATGATACGTCAAACAATCTAAAAATCACTTTTTTGTTTGGACATTGATTTGGATCGATTAAAATTATTACAGTAATACAGTAATCCGTACCGTTACACTACTGGTACGTACCTACCAGTTACTTGTTCGGATCTTTTTTTGAAAGCTGACATGGATCCCAAAAAAATCTACGATCTACTACTTCGTAAAGCCAGATAACCAGATGGATGAGATACCGGTAGTACCCCAATTTAATTTTTTTCAAAAAATGCATGACAGGAAAACGCTAAGCCGGTTGAAAACGAGAATGAATGGTGCTTGATGAATCTTGACGTTTGCGTTCTTCTTTTCTGGGGATAAATATTCCAAGTGGAATAAGAAGAACAGGAGAAGATCTGGACTACGAGTACGAACTGAACAGAACCAAAATCCGAGCACCTTGTTGGTTATGCTCGCTCTGTCTGTTCGGCGTCCTCGTACGTACCGTATTCGCACGAATGCGTACCAATACTTAGCTAGTAGATTTGCTTGATTTTTCTGTCCAGATYTGAAAAGWATATAAACCAATATTTTTMGTYRRTATACKAGGAGATCAAATAGGATGATTAGCTCAGTTGGTAGAGCGTGCGACTGTTAATCGCAAGGCCATGAGTTCGATCCTCATATCGTCCGTTCTCTCCTGCCAAAYYAGCYMGGTTRRTAGAGCGCACGAYKGTTAATCGTGTGGTCGAGGGTYCGRTCCCCTCATTCGGTGCTCTCTTATAGTGAAGTGGTTATCACTCTTGACTTTGAATCAAGCATCCGGCGTTCGAATCGCCGTAAGAGAATTTTTGCTTCGTTTATTTGTCTCACTTTTGTTTATTAGGATCGAYAAACAATTCCTCATTACTAGTACTTGCAAATATTTTAAACTTGTTTCAATGCAAAGCAAAGAGACAAAGGAGTGATAGTAAAAACACAATAGGWATAAAACTTTGGTAACCCGTCCCCGACATACACGTAATATTCGAAGCAATCCTTGCTGAGATTAAGATGAGTGAGTAGCTTCGGTGACGTGATAACGCCGGATTTTTTGTCATGCTTGGCACTGTAAAAAACGGGACGTTGGTTCTTCCGATCTCTTGAGCCGTAACAGTTTTGACAGAATATCTTTAGCTTAGGGGGGGGCATGATAAAGAACAAAGCTAAGTTCCAAGCAGAGGATGAGTTTTCTAATGCTTTGGAAGTAAAATTATGCTGGTTTTCGGAAACATGTTCTGGATATATGAAGTTGTGCGGGAATTTTGTAAACTATTATCCAATCACGAAAGACTAAGGGTTGACCCTGAAACTTYGATGGTGTCAACCGCGTGAAACGCGCAATACCATAGATCCGGTTTGTGTGACGCAGACATGGGAAATTTATTAGAAACACATGTACAACATCATTAAGAGGGGTTCAACTCACTTGAACAGCTATATCCTCTTTGTCCCCAAAGGACACTTCACCACTATGGTAAGCACATTCATCAAAAGCCATTTTTAAGAGCTTTCTGACCATATGGGGGAGCCAGGGGGTTCTAGTGGTATCTGTTGATAGGTGTGCATATATATAGCATTGCTAATGTACAAATGACACAGCAGGAATTGCTCTGGTGCAAACTCCTCCTCTGGTATAGGATACTCCTCTTCATCTACTAGTATTTTGGAGGTTTGAGTGCTGTTGASAAACAACCACCCAATCTACTACTAATTCTTTGACCTGTCTTGATATTGGTGGTGTSTACAGTGTCTATTACTATGTAACAATTAGAGATGATTAATTTCCCTTTGTCACTACTAGATGAGTGGGAGCAGAAATCAGCAAGCCAATTACTACACCACTACTAGTGGCCGACAATTCTACACAATCAGGGTCATCATGATAAAGAGAGTTGATAGCTAGTTGTTGCCTTCATCTTGGGTGGAATTCAAAGACAATTGACCTGTCTGTCAATGAACAAAAAATTGCTGGTGGTAAGGAAGAAAGAGGCACTATTCTATTTTTCCAATGACAGCTTCACCAGTACTACTTTCTCTAGGAAGAAATCAAGCATGATATCAAGGTAGTACTATCATTGTCCTCTGTGATACAAAAACTGGGTACTTGTCTGCCTTTGAGATCTACAATAGTATTATTAGTGAATCCATATCGGATACTTCTCAGCAGTTGGTGCACAAACCAAGACACTATGCGAGGAAAATGTTTCAAGCTCTTCTTACTACTACTAGTAGTACTAATACTAGTAGTAGCAGTACTAGTACTAGTAATAGTAGTAGCACTGCATACTTCTGAAATTAATTGGAAAGCTCCTTGTGATGAAGATCCCAAGTCAAAGTGGATACCTTGCTGGATGCTAAAGAATAGAAAAGATCACTCCTCTTCTTCTTATAGTGGTGGTGTTTCTTTGCTATCTGTGCTCACCACGTGACTCCATACCCAAGAACTCCAAAGTGGAATGTATGACAAAGTGACAAGGAACTTTTGAGTTGTTTGTGAAGAAGGAATTGAGGATCCAGCCACCAGGGAGTATGATGGAGATCAGGAAAAAATGTCACTGGAGTTGCAGTGCTGGTGTTAGAATGTTAGAACTTCCTCCCCCCCGCTTTCAATGTAGTACAGTTTGCACCTTACCATTGAAATAGCAGGATCAATATATTACCAATTTGGATGGTTCTACTATTTTATTGTGCTATTTTTGGCTCTGCAAATGTGATTTTACTGTCTGTTGTGCTCCAATGATCATTTTGATATGCCTCTACTTGGACATGATAGCTACTCAGAGTGACACATTTTTGAGACTGACAAACTTACTATCAGTTTCAGAATTTTCTTGCATTGGTCATTGTTGTTCAAAAAGAGGAGGTGCACTATACCATTTTTGTCAAATGTATCGGTTCCTGCTGGTGTGTTGGTAGACTGTTAAATTTTGTGTGCAAAAATAATTTTTGACCACATGCATGAGCATTTTTAGTCTGTGGTACTGATTCTACAAGTTCTACACAGTCATGTCTAAAAAAACTTAAGTAAAGATGTGGAGAAGACTGTCTAAGACAGTCAAAGTAGTAGTCATACTGGACATTCATTGTGGTACAGAGGAAGTAGTACAGGTGCAATTAACATTGGGCTAACTTCAACCATCATCATCAGACAATAATGTCATGATCTATTTCAAGTACTTCCTCTGTCCAAAAAGAACCGTCCCTTAGCGAACTTACTAGTACTGGAATAAGCTCAATACTTAGGCAATTTGAATCGTTCTTTTTGCTGCACTTATGATATCTATTATAATAGTAGTAGTATTCAGTCATGAAGATTGTATGAAGTTACTAAGGTGTCTGGCTTACTTGTGACTTTCCACTGTAACTGTGATTCCCAGATTGTCTTTATATTGTCTTGCTGTCAGATCAATTCAAAGCTTACAGTATAAGAAGCACCCGAAGGATATTGATCATTTGAATGCCAATGTGGAGGAAGCGTTTGATGAATGCAAGCGTGAAACRTTGAATAATGTGMTTTTGTCCCTTTTGGCTTGCATGGAAGTGTCTCTTGATGTAGACAGTGATAACAACTACAAGCTTCCGCCAATGGGCAAAGCAAGGCCTCATGAGAGAMGGCACCCTTGCAATTTCGATCATTTGTGATCCTGATCGCATCAATGCAGGACATGCATTACTCGTTGCACAAGCTGAAGTGGAAGTCAACACTGCAGGCACAAGAGCAGTTCAGTAGTAATATTATTTAGTTGCAATCAATTTACTAGTGAAAAGATGTTTCTGCTGGTAGTGATTGTAGTACAGTATCCTACTGGGTTCTTAGTTAGGGGACTGTCATATCCAAACGGTAAAAAAGGAGTCATGGGACAGTCATTATCAGACGGAGGAAGTAAATGATAATAACATTTATGGTTGATAATAGTTGTGTCATCTACAAATAATACTCATATTGGTAAGAAGAGGGTTGTGGCATCAATAAGGACAATATTATGGTTTGATTTCACTACATAGTTTTCTGTGTATGAGGACGTTGACGTAGTTAAAAGTGGGTATTTCCAGCGTTGCAGAAAATTTGGTGGAAGACCAAAAGATTCCGGTACAGGGACTCGAACCCTGGTATCCTGCGTGAGAGGCAAGTATGCTAACCACCTACA